GACAAAATGCTCTGCTGTCTGTTTTGGTAATCAAGCCAAGATGATTCTTAAGTTGATTATATAAATTTGGGGAAGAAGACATTGATAATGAATCATTAATTTAATTACAAAATTAATCCTTAGTTCATGTTAATCAGTCTTTAATTAATTTCTAAGATTAAATATGATCCTAATAAAATATTGATTCAAAATTTTATCAATAATTATAATGCATGCCAACTTGGATGAATAACATGCAAGGTTGGCAACTATATATAATTGCTTATCCATAGAATAATGAATCTAAATTAAAGCCTGCTTATCCATATATATGTTTGTGTATCTCCCTGTGTGTTTGTATATACATATATATATATATATAATTTATGCAATCAATCTATTTCTTCCTGCAACTATTTTATTTTTTTTCTCCTAGCAACCTTCAAACTGTTGAGATATTCAACAAACATAGAATTAGATTTATGAAACTCTCGAGGCAGATCAAGAAAAGTTTCAATCAACAATACGTACATATACCTATAGATATATCCATAGTTGAAAAAAAGAAAAAAACCCACTTGATAATCACATGATTTTAATCGAACGTGAGTTGATATACCTATAGATATAGGTCAGTACTGACTAAATAAACATGCTTAAGTACTCATCGCAAAAATAAATCTTGAAAAAGATATATAAACGTGTATATGGAAATACAGCTAAGTAGAGAGAAATGATGCACGTAGAAAATGCCTTCTGCCTAACGTAATAGAAATTATTTACAAAGCATTGAACATGGACAATACGTACATATATATATATACATATATACATGTATATATATATATAGCAGACATAAGCAGTATCAGTAAATATTCAAAACTAGTCTTTTCATTTACAGAGAAGACAGTGAAAGAGAGGAATTCCTCTCTCCTTATCTGAGACTTGTCCATCTGGACTTGGCGCCAACCTTATCTCCTTCTTCCTTTCCTCGTCATCATTAGCAGCCATTTAGACTAGCTTTACAAAATTAGGCAAGCCCTATGTTCTAACCTATATATATATATATATATATATATATATACACATATATGTTATATAATTTGTTTGTTTCAGATTCATTATGGGTTTTATTAGATTTTGCATATCGGACCATCTTTTTAAGATGATTTTACCTATATATATACATATAAATTTCTAATATTGAGATTCTATTACAAATTGTTGAGCAATATATTTTTTCTTTTCAATAATAAAAAAGGTTGGGAAAGATTAATCTAATCTTAAGCATGATTAATATATAATCACATATAAAACATATTGTACACTATGATAACATATAAAATGAATATCTATTCGCGAGGTTTATGAACCATTCTTAAAATATTTGACTAAATATTATTTTTATCGTGATTACATCAATCAAAATTTTCAAAACATTATAAATTTATTGACATAATTTATTTAATTTGATCACTGTAATTTTATTAATTAATTTATTAATTTTATTAAATTAAATATTATAAATTTGTTATCAATAATTTATAATAAAATTATAAAATAATAAATTTAATATCTTTGACGAACATTAAATTTATAATTTTTAATTAAAATACAAAAATTTTAAATATTAAAAACCAAATATTATGTTATTAAAATTATACTAAATTAAACATTATAAATTTATTGCTATCGAATTATAATCAACTCATTTAAATTTTAGTAGTTATTAAAATTTTATAACTTTGAATTAGAATTAGAATTAGCATATAAAATTCTTTTAACCATTAGAAAGAATGATGCTGTTGGCATTCGCCAGCTCAAAGCGTTAAATTCTCCAAATCGGGAAAAGAGTCCTTCGGGGCTGTCACAATTTTCGGGTCGGGTCACGGGTCGTGGCGGTCCAAATCAAAATCGAATTTGAAGGCACAATTGACGACAAGATTTTGCTTTTACCAGTTTCATTCTCTTCGTATTTGGGATGCGGACAAGTATATATATATATATATATATATATATATATATTATATATAATTTAATCATCGACTGCCCTCCCTCATAAATAACTCCCCGCCTTCTCGTACAATCCAATCCTGCAGTGCTAATAAATGTTTACGTTCTGAAATATAATTAAGTTGACTAAAAAAAATTATCAAAATTTTAATTTAATAAATTTGAATTTATATATTTCAAATTTTAATTAATTTTGTAACCCACCCTTTTAATTCTACAGTATTAAACTTGTGTTTAACTCAATACAAATTAGATTAATTAATTAATTTTAAAAAAAATTACGAATTTTAGATGAATTAAGAAATACGATTTAAGATCGAGACATTAATTTTAAAACACAATATTATCTGAATTAAATGCAGTCTGGTAATTATAAATTATTATTATTAGTATTTTCCGACCATCCCATAATTATTTCACCATTTATTTGTTGCAGATTTCAAAATTGAGAAGCCGCCCAGCAACAAACAAGATGCTGACTGTCTATACATACATACGTACATACATATATAACATACATACATATATATATATATATATTGTCTTTCCAACAGTGTCTCTGCTTATTTTGATTCTTGTTTTCACACACCCATTAAACACCTCTTACCAATTTTTTTTTTTTTGTTTTTTTTTTTATAAATATAAAAAAAAAATAAGAAACTCATAGTTTCTACGTATTATAACGATGAAAAGTTCTCTTTCATTCGTTAATTATTTTATTTATTTTTTAAATTTTGTATTAGCAAATTTCATCTTCCACCACAGCACGAGTTTGAGTACGAGTTTAATTCTAATTATTTTAGAATTGGGAATTACAATTTAAAAATATAAAAAATTATTTTTTAATATATTTATATATTCTTCAATTTCGACCAATAATGACTGACTAACAAAATATTACGATTACAGTTCAACTGAATTCAATTAATTTTTTTCCATTATCAATTTATGACATGCAAATGGAATATATATATATATATATATATATGTATGTATGTATGAACGTGTAGATTTATGTATATCCATGCAGGCTATCACATAAGCTGGTAAATGTCAGAAGCAGGGGAAGAGCAAGAACTGTATAAAAATTGGATATACAAAATCAGGATGAACAAACTTTGATCAACAACTATATTAATCAAATCAGACTCAGTGTATCAATTTACACTGTAAATTTGTCCTTCAATTTCAATTTTAACTTTTCCTGTTTTTTTTTTTTTTTTTTTTTTTACACAAAAGTCTAATAACCAAATTAATCTTGGTTTTATCCTATTGAAACCTCTGTCTCTTCCCTGTCGGGATCTGATTGCTAAAACTCGGCCCGGAACTCAGTAGCCGGCCGCTGCTCAGGCCGGAAACCATCCCATTCGAAAAGTTCAACAGCGAAGCCGAACACATTTGAGAAGATCCTCTTGAAATCTCAACATACGATGATGATGGATTATTCAATGGCTTCTGAACAGAATTCAGAGCTGGTTTCTGGGTATCCAGAACTGGAGTATTAGCTTCATAGTTCTTGATTGACACAGGTGGGATCTTGAAGGATTGCAGAGGAGGGGGATTTCGCCATTGAGGAAGAGGTCCAGCTACAAGCAGAGTCTGGAGAAGTGGACCCGCTTCCATTACAGCCTGCAAAAGTTTTCCTTTCTGAGGCAAAGTTTTCCCCTTGACAAGCTTATCGATAGCAGCAATTTCCGGGTCAATTTTAGTCATTACTTGAGGGACTAAAGGTTTTGGGATTGAGCAATTGTAATCTTGCATGAAAGGCTGTTTGACAAATCCCAATTGGGCTGAATCCGCCACGTTGATGTTCGAGAAATCGGGGGAAGAGACTGCATCGAAGAACGAATCAACTGGAGAGGAGCCATGGGATAAGCTGTTGGATTCTGTAATGCTTGAGTTGGCTTTTGCTGTAGGGAATAAGAGAGGACTTTCAGGCGGGACTTGGGGGAGAATTGGGTTTAATTCAGTTTGAGCTGAAGAAGGTATTAGCTTGTTTATCAGTTTCTGCAATTGATCTTTGGCTTCATCTCTTTCTTGATAAGCAAGCTTTAGAAGATTGAGCAAATGCTTGACTTCTTCCTTGTGCTTCCTTACTTCCTCATTTGCTTCCATTTTAATAGACTCCAATTCAAAAGCAGTGTATTGAAGCTTCTGTCTCAGCTCATCAATTCCCTGCCAAACACGAAACAAATAATTCAGTATCAAAACAAATCTATTCTACGAAAACAAGATACTAACACGACATGACCCAGATCGGATCATGTCTCAAAAATATGTGCTAATAACCTGACACTACTAATTGGATCAGGAACTGATTCATGAACAAGACTGATGGCATGTCAATACTCTATTGTAATAATTTATACACGTGATTCGAAATTTGTGTCACGAAATCTAAACAATGGAGAGAAAGCTATCGTAATACAAATTTAGTGTCACAGTGCTGTTTATAACACCATGCATCATGAACATGGAAAACTGAGAATCTAAAGAGATTCAAAGAGAAACATCCATGGAACCCAAGACTGAAATTGCAGCCTTGTGATTTTTCAAAGAGGAATTTAAACGAACAGTTTGGCAGTAATCAAACCCAGACCTTGAAGAAGATTTGGACATGGACATTAGACCTGCTTCTTTAGAAAAACCAGAGATCTTTTTTGTCGCAAAGAGAAAATCCAAAAAATAAAAACCCAATAAAATTCAAAGTTAGGAGGAACTTTATAATCACAACTAGGGCCCATGCAAATCTCTCCAGCTCTTTCAGTCAAACAAAAGGGTTTGATTTGCCTTCAGAATTGGGGAAAAACCCTAAAAATAAGGGCATATGACCACCATTGAATCTAACTTAATAATGAAATAGACCTTTTTTGGTCCCAGTAGATACATTAAGCAAAGAAAATACCCCAAGTTTCTATCAGAACCCGACAAGAGTTCACTCAGAAAAGTTCAAACTTTACATATTATGTACTAAACAGGACAGAAGATTTGAATCAAATCAATATTCATGTACAGTAAATACTATAATATAAACTGGAAAATAAAACAAGAATTCAAGCAAAAGATCAATTCATCAAGATTACGATCTTCAAAAATATTATTTTAATGATACTAAAATATGTAGAGTAATTCTGCAATAGAGACACTTCATCCAGCAAGCAGGAAATGACATTAATATCCAAATTAAGACGAAACAAAAACAGAATCACAGAAACCATAATTGGGTTATTGCCATGAATTAGACTCGGAGGAAACTGTGGACTGAGATAACTACCGATGGAGTGGAGCAAATTTATCAGCATGAATAACAGGATCAGACATTGTTGCAGACAAGAACAGAGAATCTAAAAGGTAGTTTTAAAAATAGAGAAGGAGATGAGGACAGAAATGAAGAAAAACCCACCTCCTGATAACACCAAATAGAACCCAAATCCTCCATTGTTTGTTCTTTTCTTCTCTTCTCTTTCCTTTTCTTTTCTTTTCTTTTCTTTTCTTTTCTGATTAGAAGAAGATGAAATAGAGAAAAGAAAAAGGTATATGAATAGAGAAATCAAAGTCTAGAGAGTTTAGACAAAAAGATTGCCTGTGAGTTATTTATAGAGCAAATGAAAGACATTTAAGGGGAGAGAGAGAAGGAGAGAGAGAGAGAGAGAGAGAGAGATTTCTCATAAACCTCCAGAAAAAACCAGTCCACATCACACAATAGAAAATTAAGGGTTTTGCCTTCCTCAAAAACAAAAAGAAAGAAAATAAAGGATTTTGCGAAAAGACCTTCCAATTAGAAAAACCCAGATTCCATTTTCTACTCTCTCTCTTTATATATAGTATATGTGTATATATATGTAAAAATTGAATTTCTTTTCAACTCCCTCCCACTCTTTCAGGTCTCTTGTCTTTTACTTAAAATAAACCTCTTGTCTCTTCTCTCTAATGTGTATACATACATATAATGCATGAATAAATCAGATTACACTGTGATTACATCATAAAGAACATGGCCAACGACAACAACCCATGTATATATTTACATATATGGTCATATGGCTGAGATGATTATAATCGCTTTCTCTTTATTGGGTAGTCAGTCAATAAAATCCAGTTAGATTTTCTTAAATATATATATATATATATATATATTCCTTTGTATATATGTAAACGGAAACGGCTGTTTCCCTCAATAATAGGTTTACGGAAGCTAGCTGTTCGCTTATTACCTTCTTTGTAACGCGGTTTTATGGTACGTTTCCATAAATGCCCTTTCCTAAAAGGCAATTTCCTTTTTTGGGTGGTCAACACTCAATTCAATATTAATTACTACATAAAACGTGATATCTCTTTTTGCCTAACTTATTTTTACTTTTGAACTTATAACAGTGTAAAATTTATAAGGTTAGAAAACTAATAATTTTTTAAAAAATAAATAAAAATGTATTTAAATATTGTATTTTATTTAAAATTCTTTACACATAATGGGTATATATAAAAAATACTAATTAAAAAATTATTAATTTCAAATGAGAATATTTTTGTAAAAATTATTCTTGAACTGTTTATAAGCTAAAATGGGTAAAACAAAAAATTGTATATATTTTTTAAAACCAATTAAATGAAATAATTATTACGTATTTTAGATATAATAATATTTTTTATAAGCTGATGAAAATAAAAATAAATAAATAAAGGAAAGCAGATTAAAAGCCAAGAATAAAAAGGAAAGGGAGTTCTGATAAGATAAACGAGGGCTCATCGTAGTTTATCATCTAATTATGGAAATCAGAAGCGATCAGCACCGTTGATTGGCGGTTTCTGGATTTGACTTGTATACTTACTGGAAGTACTGTAATTGTTCTATTTGGGTGTATTTATCTGGTGATTTCTGACACGTGATAATAATTATGATATTATCATTTTGATTTTAATGCCTTTAAATGCTTATTATACTCTTTCCATTTCTACAGATAATTATTTTTTTATGTAAATTTATTAATTAGAAATTCCTTTTTTAAAAAATAAATTATTTTGTGCATTTAATTTTTATATTCATTCACAGGGTATGCGAATTATTTCATAAGAAGAAAATATTTTCTTCTTAATATGTATTTATATTAAAATATACATAGTTTTTATAAATAACAATAAAAATAATCTTGAAAATTTAACATTAATTATATTTTATTTTTTTAATTTTATTTTATTTTATTTTATAGTTGTGTGCATTAATTTTGAATATCATATACAAAAATAAAATTTAAAATGATTTTCTACAACCAAATTTATTTAATATTCATAATTAATTTATTATTTATTCATTATGAGGCTAATGTCTTACACAACAATTAATGAATTCTAATTCTATAATTATCCGAGTTTTAATTTAAAATAGAAATTCAAATTTGGTTTCATAATATTAATGTATATTACAATATATTAAAAAATAATATATGGTACGTAATATGGTACATATATATAAGATAGACATTTGGCGACGTGTTATTGGTGCCATGTGAATGTCTCTAACCAAGACAAAAGTGCAATTAACTTTCTATTTTTTTAAAACACTAATTAATTAATTCATTATATATATATATATACACATATACATATATAGAGTTTATATAATTGGTAATTATATATAATAATTATTCATGTTTTTTAAGGATTGGCATTATGTTCCCTTTCTCTTTCTAGGATTAAGCTAGATTTGGCTTGTGAACTGCCCAAGAAAACTGAACTCAACAACATAATAGTTGACTTATTATGTATATGCTTATTCTATTGTACTATATTAATTACTTATTAAATTTAAGGGCATGTTTGGCCATGCACTTTTGTGTCACCTATTGTTCACATGAGTTTTTTTATTTATTTAATATTTGGCAGCATATATATTTTGTGAATAAGCATAAGTGTTAAGTGACAAAAAGTGCTTAATAAAAATTTCATTATTTCATTTATTGGGATTCCTTTTGTTTGCCAAAGAAAATTAATTAATGACTATTTATGTGCTTTATCTTATTATGAGATTCATCCAAGTGTTTTTTTTTTTTTTGTTCTCATAATTAATGTTTAATATGTTTCAATCATGGAATAAGGTAATTTAAGGACTAATGAGTATTTATGTTGTATAAAAATCAAATTTTATTTTATATCCAATATTATAAATATGTAAATTATACTTAATTTTTGTATATATAACCTTTATATGGTATTAGTTATATGTGCATAAAATTTAATGAGAATATAACTGATTAATGTTTAAATAGACAAATTACAGTAGAAATATATGTACGGATTTTTTTATACATTATTTTTTTTTACGCGTTAGTGATCACTTAAAATCTTATGAGTTCTATAATTATAATATAAAGAAAATTCAGATGATACATGATATTATTTTTAATGAAAAGTAATTCTAATCATTAAACAAAAATATATTTTGAATAATAAATTTTAAAAAATTTTAATGAAAGAAATAATAAATAAACAAATTGCTCTATGAGAATATAATGAATATAATATATTTTTCATAAAAAATTTTAAACTTATGAAATCTTTCTAAAAGTAAAAATATTCTCATTTTCTTCTATTATATACATATATATATATATAGAGAGAGAGAGAGAGAGAGAGAGATAGCATAGGTCCAATACCTTTAAAAAGAAACAAATGTCGAACTTTCTACGTACATTTACTAGAATTACATATTTTTATTTTACATCTTCTTTAATCGTTCTTAAACTTCGTAATAATGTATATCATTTCGTCCGACTATTCAATTGGTAGGGGCAATAGGCATTGCATACAAAAGGCAGGAACATAGTCAACACTAACAAACTTGCTACGTAAATTTGCTCGAATTATGGATTTAGTGTTACTT